TTTTTCCTTATCTAAGATGATCAATACTTCAATAAACTATGGTAATTTATCAAAGATGATCACGTTTCGAAAATCGATCATCTGAAAAAAAGGAGCTATATGAATGTCGGGCCAGATCAGATCCAATTTTACCTTATAAATCCGTATAAAAAGCCTGATTCGGATAGTAGTTGATATACTCTGTAGTACTCAGGAAGATTGCATAGTCGATCGAGTACGAGTATCTACTCATACTAGCTCACTCTTGATATTCGATATTTCTGAGTAGTTTGTTCGGTAATCGAATCATTGACTCAACCACTAATGATTCTCACTGAAGTATTTCAACTATGGATATCATATAATACTTTGCTTTTACTACAACACAATGTCATCCCTCGAAATGAAATTTACTGAGCAGAATGCTATAATTATAGCCTTATCTGAATTCATAGCGAAGCTGCCGACCAAACCTGCTACCTGGCAGGCAAGCCAAATTGGTTGATCTAACGACTTTTAAGTTTTGAAAATCAATTGCTGATACTGTGCCTTATTATTCGAGACTGCGTTAACGAACTTGTTTGATTCCAGCAACAAATATTTGAAACATACGCCAATTGAGTGTTGTAAGACTTACATAGACTAACAGAAGAACTTTTTTAGACTCAAAATAATCGGATAGTAAATTTTACTATCGTGCTGGTGCCAAGATTGATTGTCAAATATAAATATCCTTGCCTATTTTTCTAAGTATAACTTATCCCTACGTTTTCGCTGGATACTTTCTTTTATTTAATCATGGTATATTGTAACTGGTGTTGTTTTTGTCATCACGATAGCATATTGACGATAATGCAAAATAGAATGAATAGGTGGTTAAAGGTCGAAAGGAAAAATGTCGAAAGAGAAAATGTCGAAAGGCAAAATGTCGAAAGCAGATTGTCGAAAATCTAAATCCTTTTTGGTCACAGATTTCGCCCTCACCCTCACTGTTGTGCTCTGTGAATGTGTACCGTATTACATTCTATTGATCAAATCTTAGAAAAAGTTTTTCATCAAGGATTTACAAGGATTTACAGGGGTTCATAATTTTCGACATTTTGCTTTTCTACATTTTTTTTTCGACATTTTCACTTTCGACATTTTCCTTTCGACATTTTGACACTTTACCAAATACAATCAGTATGATCAAAGAAATTGCACTAATGGAAACTTATTTTGTTTGAAAAATTTTTATGATTAATATCTCTGTTTTAATTTTCTATTTTGTGCTAGAATTTGTCATTATCTTATCTCTATGCAAATAAATTAAGTAAACAACTGAAACTAGAACGATACATTTATGTAGAATTTTAGAATTAAACGTATTTATAAAACCAGAAGCATCGATGCGCCTGGTTTGACTTACAGATTATTTTGTGAATTTTAACCTAGTCTACGGGTATCCTGAGCTAGACTAGGTGAGGTCACAAAAAAATGGCTTGCCAGCAGCTCTGATTCATATTTTTCAGTATTATCTCTTCTTGCTAAACAGAATTCTAGAATTGTAATTTGATCTAAATGCGTACTGCTGAGAACCACCAAGTGTGCTGACTAATATATTTAAAATTTTCTCATAAGGTTTCGAAAGATAATATTCAGATATTTTCCATCAAAGTTAGACGTGTATTTTTTCATTTCATATCATAGTTGGCTATCGTGGGTGAAAAATTGCTGCTGCTGCTGCTGGGATGGTTTTGAGGATATTTTTTGAAATTCTCTTGATTCACTGTGCTAAATTTTCACAGTGACTTTGAATCCACCAGATTCACTACGATTCTAACTGTTGGACTTCAGTAAATTTAAATCGGGTACAAATTCATGTAATTTTATAGTTTTGCTCAAAAAACAAGCTGTCGCCATGAACCTCTCTACTTCATATGATAATGAATATTAGCTTAACAAAAACTGTTTTTTTTGCAAATTTAATGGTTACATTGATTAAGTAAAGAGAAAGTGTTTTATCAGATATAAAAAGAAGCAAAGTAGTCAGCTTCCTACTGTAAAGATTTCAATGAAACCGAAAAAAAAAAGTTAAAAATTAGTTGTTCTCACAGAGACAATAAAAATTTTCTAAAAAACAGAAAATTCTTACATGTCCTTGTGTTCTCCTTGATAAGCTTCATTTCGATAGAATTGTATTCGAAGATTTTTGTATGTTAAACTATAAATAAGTGTCATTAGATCAATTTGTGGAGCATGTTTTGATGGTGATTCACTTGTAAATACACTATTCATTGTATTAAAACGTATTGATAAACTATATGGTAATGTATCATGTCGAATAGATATTCGACCCTGTTAAAATAAAAAGCAAAACAATAGCAAAAAAAAGAAACAGAAAGGAAATAAACTAACATGATCAACTTTAATTTCAATAGCTGGAAAAAGACTTCGAAGACTTTGTACAAGAAAACCTTCTTCATTATCTTTAACTGTATTTACACTTTGTGCATCATCGGCTTTTGTTGGAATTCTTAAAAAAAAAAAAAACAAATATTCGATCAATTAGCTTTGCTTTGTTTTTACTCATGAATCGATCCTTTATGTAAATCATCATTTAAATTATTTGTTTCTGAAAATGTATTTGACCGAATTGGAGTAGAAAATAGTATATCAACATGATTAAGTTTTATTTGTAAACGTATTACTGATTTCTTATTTGTTCTAGACCAATACCGAAAAGTTAAACAACCATCTCGAACACAAACAAAATAACTTCCTGTTGTATAATGTAAATTTCTAAACATGATTGAACCCGATATAAATGATATTGAAAATGAATCAAATTTCATTTGTATTGCATCTTTAAAATAAAAACGTTTTAATATATATGATAATATAATACCTTGTACACGTGAATGATACAATATAAGATAAATTATCCAAATAATAGTTAATAAATAAACTATAATAAGTAATGGAAGTTTTTCACGATGTATATCAAAATAATCAAGAATTTCATTTGATATAGCGTTAAATGTTGATGGAGTTGTTAAACTTGAAGACATCTGATTTGAATTTGAGGTATTTAAGAATGTACTCGTATGAGAGGGATATGTTGGTTGAAATAATGATTGCATTGTATCACATAATTCTTTTTTTCAAAAAGCAAAATAGAATATTTGCAGGTTTCGTCTTGTTCGAATCATCATCGACAGCAATTAGGTATTCGATGGCTTTTTATAGTAACCAATAGATTCCTTATATATATATATGTATGCACATAGCGAACTCTGTCGATAATATGTGAGACCTTGATTGATTTTAGTATTGAATTCGACGTATTATTCAAGTTGTCTATCCTTCGAATAAAAAGTTTTTAGCTGTTTTTCGCATTAATATAATAGAAAAGCCAAGTTGTTAAATCAAGAATATGAATATTTGTAATTTTAAGCAAAACAAAAAAACAACAATTTCTTTGTGTATATATAAGGAGATCGAAAAAAGCTTGACAACAACAACATATTTTTGATTCTTTTCTATAATGTTGAGAATCGAGCTCAAATACAGATAGCTATTTTCTCTTATCAAGATTTCATAGATGAGCTATGACGGTAAAATATTCTAAACAATTGGACATACTAGTTTTCAGATCCCAGAAGACTCTTTTTGTTTTAAACAATGCTAATTTGAAGAGCATAAAACTCTAGACATAGTGAGAAGTCACAGCATTTTTCTTAGTTTTTGTGATCTTTTTAAATTTCTACCATACAAAATGTGGTGATCCCACCATTTTGTACTCTTTTAAATGGGAATACTAAAAAAACTACTCTTCCGAAACCTGAAGACTATCATGACAAGTGTTTAAAACCCTTGTCAGCATATTTCATCTATGAAATCTAGTTAAGAGAGAGCGCTATTGGCTATAAAAATCATTATCTGGATTTGAGCTGATTGCTTAATATCATCGGAAAAAAAACTCATTGTTATTTAACTTTTTCCCATCATATTATATATTTCTATATAAAACTCGATGAAAGTGAATAGCATCAGCAGTAATTACATCAATCTCTTTTATTACCACAAATATCAGTCATTATACAGAAAAATCTTCAACTTCAATTAGAATTTTTCATAGAACGAGATTCAACAGGTAAATATAACAAATGATGTTTAATTTAAATTTTTTTCTCTTTTTCTGACAGAATACATTTGTTTCTTTTCCTCTATGAATTAGCAACATCATAATCTATGGCTTTCTATTGTTGATCCATGATTTTCAAGTTGAATGCAGCTATTTTTTATTTTGTTTATGGTTAATTAACTTTTGAATTATACAATGTAATATTTAATCCCCTAGAAGACCAGATACTTCCGTCATTTATGTTTATTCTACTAAAAACTCATAAGACTCTCAAGTAAAAGGTTATATTAAAGTCGTTATGACTATTCCAATTTTATATTTTTTTTTAGGTACATTACTTTTCAATACGATGACCTAAATTAATGTTTTCATTGGACATGACTAAAATTATTTACAATACTTGATTTCAAATGTTTTTTTTTATATATACATAGAATTGAAAGGTATTCATTTGCATATTCAAAATAAAACGGTTTGTTTTTTTTTTTCGCTAATCAATTAAAGTCTTTTTTTCTCATCCATATTCTGATCTCATATGCATACATACACACAGGTAAAGAAGAATATAACGACACAAGTATAAAAGAAAAGAAGAAAAAAAAGAAAAAGAGAAAAAAGAAAACTTTTTTGGCATACAGAGAGACAGTAACCATTGAGGCTCGCTAGTTTTTCTTTTACGTAAAAAAACATACATATAGTTCTGTTCCTCTCTTCTGACTAGATGCACGGATGAAACCGAGCGGACACAATCAGCGTCTTCTTTATATATATATATATATATATATATATGTATATATTGGCAGCCAGTGCCGCATGATATTCTATTAACGGAAGAGAAGATAATGAACAAGCATCCTGAATCAACAAATAATAATATTCTGTTGTTTAGCTCGTGTCAGGATGATTTTGATGCCATTTCTGTCGTTGTTCGTCGTTGAATTGGATATGTTGTACGACGTAATAAATTTATATATAATTCAGATTTAAGAAAACGTTGATAAGAATCTTTTTCCATTAAACCTTGAATACGTCTTTGAGCTCGATCAAATGTTTCTGATGGTGGATTATCAATATTAGCTATTGTTGACATACGTGTTTCAGTATCAAGATTCACCTAAAAAGAATAATAATTATTTTTATTTTTATTTTTGAAAAAGACAATTATTCACCTGTTTTGGGGCACCAATAGCAATAAAATCCATATAGATTTTTTTTGCTTTAGCTGATCGTTTTGGTTCTTTACATGTACGAAATTCATCACATGCAAGCCAAAATTCAAGATTTTCTTCACTAAATTCAGTACGTAAAAAAGCACGAAATAAAGCTTGTCCATCTAATAATGATTAAACGGTAAAAATATTAAATAAAAAAAAATAAAACTTTACATCGATGCCGTAAAAGTGCGTCAAAGGATTCTTCCCATGATTGAACATCTTCACGTGATGGTATAAGACTTTTTTCTGATAATGTTGCTTCTGTTGTACGACGTCGTATTAAATTAGCAGCACGTGATTTAAAATCTTTTGCACTATTTATACAAAGAAATTCATCGTTTACTTATGCTAAAAAAAAGACATCTGTTTAACATACATAGTTGCTGCTTTAGATTTTTTCTTTTTTGTCATATCTGTTGTTGTCGAATTACTTGTTGTTGATACACGATTATTTGAATCGTCGTCTTCACTAACGTATGATGTTGGTTCCTAGAAAAAAAAAACAAATATACGTATATCCAAAAAAATAAATACTATCTCAATCGTCTTTGCTCAAGTATCATTTATTCTCATCGACATACTTCTATATTTAGGCACTCATCTAAACAATCTCTCTTGTAGTATTATACATCTATAGTGATGATGGTTGTAGTGATCGATATAGTCTACTGCATTTGTTCTCTCGCTCTTATTCTATTTTTATAGCTCTCTTCAAGAGAGTATGCGAGAGCGAAACGTTGAACATTTACTTACACGCATATATCGACGTCATCGCTGGCCTCTATGTTTCTCTCACGTATCATATGTAATAAGAGCCTCCAATGACGTCATCATATTGCTCGCTCAATATGGGTTTCCTCTCTTCTTTTTTCTATATAGCTCTTCAACGTATATATAATAGTGCTTTTATATAGTTCATAATAATTATAGGTATTTCATCATAAATAAAACTCAAGTATTTTAGATTTTTTTCTGTCTTCTTAAATATTACTTTATTCTATTTATAACAAAAAAAAAATATTCATTTACTAAAACTTATTAGTTAACTATATAAATGTCAAAAAAAAAAGAAAGAAAATCTCTGCATATATTCAACTTAAATATAACAAGTAAGAAATGACTATCGTTTTTCAATTGATTTAATTATTAATTCTTCTGAATAGAAAAAGCCATGTTTTTCTCTTTTGTTCAAGTAATATAATATTAATAGGTACATCTGGTTTTTTTAACCTAACATAACTATAAATTTAAAAAATAACTTGATATATTTCGACTATGCTATGCAAAATAAAATCATTGATGAGAAAAAGTCACGAACTATTGTTTTTGTTACTATTTACATACATGAGAAAATGTCTAATGAAATAATATTTTTGCACTCTAGTAGAGCATATAAAATTGTTTTTCAATTCATCAAGGATTAAGACCATTATAGTTTTACATTTTCTTTTTTTCTGTTTTCATATCAATTTTTATGTACTGAATTAAGCTACAAAAATAACCCATATTTTTTTATTAATAGTTTATATGCATGAAAAGGAAAAACAACAAACTATTCACCTGAAATTCATTTTTACGACAAGTCATATCAAATGGGAACATATTCATTCAAGTGAGAAAAAGAAAACTAAAAAGGAAAAATTACTACTATTTTTTTTTTCTTCTTTTTTTTCTTCTTCTTCAACTAAATGAGAAACCTTAATGTGTCATTTGTTACAATCCTTTCAGATTTTACAAATAGACTACATTTGTAAAAATAACAACTGATGAGAAGGAATAAATATGGATAAAAAAAAAACAAAAAAGAAAAAGTCAGCCCGTAGGGTATACTTATAATCTTAAGAATAAATTACCCTTCTTCGATGTAAAACATCATCTGGACTACGTGAACGTATATATTGTAAAGGTTTTAGTTGATTGATCGTTGTAGCTGAACGTGTTCGATAAAAATGAAGTAATGATGACATTTGCAATATTTGTATGTGTTTCCAGCACACGTTATGAGACAAAATAAAATCGAACATATACGTACGTAAACAACGTCGACCTGCGACGACTTTTGTCTACTAGTCAACTCTTTCAACTGCTGATCATTTATATGATGTATGTGTGACTGGGTGAGTATAAAATAACGACGACGACGATGATGATGATGATGATGATGGTGATGGTGATGATGACGGCAACGATGCAAACGAAGAAGAAAGAAAAGAAGTACTACTATAATGTAGAAGACTCGACGTCCGTTTGCGTTCGCATGCAAGAAAAACAACAAACGGCGTGCTGCTGCACTATGTTCTCTCGTTCTTCCTGCAAAGCGAATTAAAAAGTTATGGGGGTGTGCGATTATATGAAAACTCGATGAAGAGTAAGTAAGGAAAAAGAAAGAGAGTAGACTGAAGAAAGACAGAGTATGTATATATATATGTGTGAGAACAGAGAGGTCTCCAAGGAAGTTGACACATGTAATCGATTGATACATTTTGTCAATATGAAAACGAGAGAAATGCTTAAGACCAAAGTAGAAGAACGTCGCAATAGTTTCTAATGATTATCACCATTGTGTTGTTTTCTTCGTTCTTTTCTTTTTTTCCTTGTTGTTTGCCATAGGGCAACAGGCAACAAAAAAAAATACCACATCATTCCTTGGCCCGGAAATAGGACACCATAGTCTCAATTGAAAACAATCTAAGAATGAAGCGGATTAACTTGATAGTCGATGCATGATTCTCATCGATGTCGTCTTCTCTTTTTTTTTC